CTGGGAGATGCTGGTGGAACAGCACTGGGGAAGGGAGCAAGATGCCTCATTGTTCCCCTCCAGACTGTACAGGTGACCAAAAATTTCCTGAATCCAAAAATATTGCTGGGTCATACTCCTTAGTGCTCCGTATGATGAGTACCGCCTAGCCTGAGGGCAGGCCCAGGTCTGCAACCCTCTCCATATGTAGACCCTCCCCTCTGGCTGGGACCGTAGGGCCTTGGCCCCCACCAGTGTTTGGTAATTAGTGGTTTCACAGCAAAGTACCTACCATCAGTGCTGTGGGTCTCCTGGGGCACACATTCAGAATTAGCAGAATTGCTGGGTCCTAGGAGAGATGTGTGTTCTACTTTAATGCCAAAGTGTTTTCCAAACTGGTTTGACTAATTTACACTCTCCAAGCAGTTTGAGTCCCATTGTTTCTCATTCTCAATCAAGACCTGGAATGTTAGCACTAAAGTTTGTGTTGATCTAATGGTATGGAATGGTTTCCTGTGTATTTACCTGATCACTAGTGAGGTCCAGCCATTTGTATTTCCTCTTCTGCACACACCTGTTCATAACTTTGCCCCTTTCCCTTCTTTTTGCTTTTATCTTAAGCATTAAAAAGAATTCATTCTGGCTACGATGCCTTTGTTGTGTGTTGCAAATATCTCTTCCCAGTTTGCCTTTTTAACTTATGTTTTTTTTTTCTTTTCTTTTTCTTTTTTTTTAAAATATATTTTATTGATTTTTTACAGAGAGGAAGGGGGAGAGATAGGGAGTCAGAAACATCGATGAGAGAGAAACATCGACCAGCTGCCTCCTGCACATCTCCTACTGGGGATGTGCCCGCAACAAAGTTACATGCCCTTGCCCGGAATCGAGCCTGCGACCTTTCAGTCCGCAGGCTGACGCTCTATCCACAGAGCCTAACCAGTTTCGGCTTCTTTTTCTTTTTTTTAAAATTAAATCTTTATTGTTCAGATTACAGTTGTTCCTTTTTTCCCCCCATAGCTCCCCTCCAACCGGTTGTCTTCCCACCCCACCCTCTGCCCTTACCCATCTCCACTGTCTTCATCCATAGGTGTACAATTTTTGTCCAGTCTCTTCCCACACCCCCACACTCCTTTCCCCCCGAGAATTGTCAGTCCACTCCCTTTCTATGCCCCTGATTCTATTATATTCACCAGTTTATTCTGTCATCAGATTTTTTATTCACTTGATTTTTAGAATCACTTGTTGATGGATGTGTATTTGTTGTTCATAATTTTTATCTTTACCTTTTTCTTCTTCTTCCTCTTCTTAAAGAATACCTTTGAGCATTTCATATAATACTGGTTTGGTGGTGATGAACTCCTTTAGCTTTTTCTTGTCTGTGAAGCTCTTTATCTGACCTTCAATTCTGAATGATAGCTTTGCTGGGTAGAGTAATCTTGGTTGTAGGTTCTTGCTATTCATCACTTTGAATATTTTTTGCCACTCCCTTCTGACCAGCATAGTTTCTGTTGAGAAATCAGCTGACAGTCATATGGGTACTCCCTTGTAGGTAACTGTTTTTCTCTTGCTGCTTTTAAGATTCCCTCTTTGTCTTTTGCCCTTGGCATTTTATTGATGATGTGTCTTGGTGTGGTCCTCTTTGGGTTCCTCTTGTTTGGGGTTCTCTGCGCTTCCTGGACTTGTAAATCTATTTCTTTCACCAGGTAGGGGAAGTTTTCTGTCACTATTTCTTCAAACAGGTTTTCAATATCTTGCGCTCTCTCTCTTCTTCTGGCACCCCCATAATTCGGATGTTGTTACGTTTGAAGTTGTCCCAGAGGATCCTTACACTATCTTCATATTTTTGGATTCTTTTTTCTTTTTGCTTTTCCGGTTGGGTGTTTTTTGCTTCTTCGTATTTCAAATCTTTGACTTGATTCTTGCGATCCTCTAGTCTGCTGTTGGATCTCTGTATATTATTCTTTATTTCAGTCAGTGTATGCTTAATTTCTAATTGGTCCTTTTTCATATCATCGAGGGTCTCACTAGATTTATCAAGGGTCTCACTAAATTTATCGGCCGTTTCTAGAAAATTCTTGAAAAACCTTATAACTGTGGTTTTGAACTCTATATCCAGTAGTTTGCTTTCCTCCATTTCTGTCATTTGTGACCTGTCTTTGTCTCTGAATTTTGGCTGCTTCCCTGTGTTGATAGAGTGGCTTTCTGTGCTAGGTGTCCTATAAGGTCCAGTGGCTCAGCCTCCCCATTTACCTGAGGTGGACACTCTTGGTGCACCCCTTTGTGGGCTGTGTGTACAGCCTTGTTGTAGTTGAGCCTTGATTGTTGTAGGTATCACTGGGAGGAATTGACCTCCAGGCCAATTGGCTGTGAGAATCAGCTGTGTCTACGGTGGGAGAACTTCTGTGCTGGAGACACCTTTATGGGGCAAGACTTGCTTCAGTGGGGCTTTGGTGCTCACTGAGTCTGCCCCCTGAGTGTGTCCCTTATGGATCTGAGGAGTTGTAATCTGGATGGTCCCACTCTGACCACTGGGTACACTGGCTCTTGGATCTCTAAGGAGGTGCTAATTTAGCCTCTGCCTGAGGCTACCCAGCAGGAGCTACGGAGAGATCTGCAGATTCCTCTTCTTTGTTTGGGGTTTGGAGGTGCCCAGATGAGGCCCAGCTGTGAAGCAATGCAAGCTGCTGTGGGGCCTTGGGCCTTCTTTTGGATGTTCTGGGTTTCTCTGACCCAGCTGCAGTTTGTTAGGTAATTTTAGATTGCAAAGGGCCAGGCCATTCATATGCAAATGCCTCTGCACACAGCTTGGGTGGGACGGGGTCTCAGGGAATCAACAGGGTGGAGCAAACAGCTATGGCTGATCCTCAGCCCTGCCCTAAGAGGCCCTGGGTCTCAGTGTCCCGTGGCAATCGCTGCAAGCACCTCTGAGAGAAAGCCACCCTCGAGTTCCGCCCGATGCCAGACAGTCCAGTTTCTCCCTGTATGAGTCTGGGTCCCTAGAGACTTGCCCGGAACTGGAGTTCAGAGCAGTCGGTAGCTTGTGACTCCCTCCCGATTGAAAAAAACAATGGCGTCCTCAGTGGCCAGTCCTTTCCACGTGCGCCTCCGTACCTCTGCACTTTACTTCCGCACCTCCTCTGAGTCTCAGTGTGCTTTTCTCTTTCCTTCTAGTTGTAGAATTTCCACTTAGCCAGCCTTTCTGTGGTTCTGGATGATGTCTGTTTTGTCTTTAGTTGTATTTTTGAAGTGGTTGTGCGAGGCAGCAATTTCAGGTGTTTACCTAAGCCACCATCTTGGTTTCTCCTTATGATGTCTTTTGATTAACTTTTTGGGAGGGTCTAGTTTGAGAAATTTTTCCTTTTCTTAGTCTTTAAGATAATCTGTATTTTCTTTTGAGAACTGAAATGGGATGGAGTTGCCATGGCCTGGTGTCTTATTCTCCCTATTCTCTCACTAACCTGCCACTTCTCTTTCAGCAATGCCTCCTGGTTCATAGGTTGATGCTCAACCACTGAGCCACGCTGACCAGGCCAAAAGATTTTTAAAAACCAGTGAGAGGTTCAAGACTGTCCCATTGTCACCCTCCTTTTCTAGCACTTCAAAATGGCAGAGAAAGGGATCCCTGCTTTGCAACCAGAGGGTTGAGACAAATGAGGTGCATGGCATGGGATGGAGGAGGGCAATTACAAACCTACCCAATCCTTTACCTCTGCTCATTTCTTTTGGTTTTGCCAAAACATGGTTGGGACCATAAAATGTACATCATGGTAGCCCGGCTGGTATGGCCCAGTGGTTGGTCAACCCATGCACCAAGAGGTTGCAGGTTCGATTTCTGGTCAGGGCACATTCCCCAATTGCTGGCTCGATCCCCAGCAGGGAGCATGCAGGAGGCAGCAAATCAATGTATTTCTCTCTTCCTCAATCTCTAAAAATTAATAACATATTTTTTAAAAGGAACATGGAAAAGAGCTCTATTAAAAAATGTGCATCATGGCAGAGAAAAGGACTGAGCACTGTCTAGACCTGAGTTCCAGAGAATATTCCAGGTATTCACACTCAGAATGTCTCCCTGCTCCAGATCAACCTTGTAGAAAAGTGGGTTTCCTAAAAAACACAGGCCGTGCCCTCATGCTATGAGAATGGAACACAAATCCATTAGCCTGGGATACTCTCTGGTACCAGCTACACTTCTTCCCACTTCCCCTCCACCCCACCCACCAACCCCAGGACTGGCCAGGGCCACAATACCAGGTCTTTTGATGCCACCACATTTCCATACATACATAAAGATACATATATATCAGTTCCTCTGCTGAGACTTCTTCCTCATGTCTTCAGTTGGCAAATCTTATTTTTCCAGCTTAAACATCACCACCTCTGAGACTCCCTAGTGAGCTGCCCCAGCATCCATTGGCCCTTCAATCGTCTACTGTCTCAGTCATGCTGTATTTAAAAGAACTGGTTTTTGTCTAGATAAGTGTGTGTACCTCCCAGATAAGATTGTGAGCTCCACATGCATGGGGACCACTTATTCAGCAGGAGCTCAAAAGAGCTTTCCAGGTCCTGGAAGGGAAGTTTAGTTGGTTAGAGCATCAGCCCGACACACCAATGTTGCGGTTCAATCTTGAGTCAGGGAACATACAAGAAAAAAACAATGAATGCATAAATAAGTGGAACAACAAATCAACGCTTCTCTTCTTTCTAAAGTCAATCAATAAAAAAATTGTTTTAACAGGGGGGCTTGTTAAATGGAGGCTACCCCCCAGGCCTGTGCCTGCCAGGACACTGATGTGACACCACTGGAGTCAGTTTTGGTGATCAGGCATCGCCAGAGGTCCCTGCTGATACAGAAGACAGGTGAGTGAGTGCTTAGGGGAAAGGATGGGTGAGCAGTGAAGGGGTAAGGGCTCAGGAAAAATCAGTGGATCGGAGGAGCAGTTTCCTCAGTCCCTTTTTATTCTGAAGGCTTTGGCCTCTCCCCTAGTACTTCCATGGAAGAGTCACTGAAAACACCCACCCGCTTGTGTGAAGAGGTAGAGGTTTATTGAAATATAAACATTCAAGAACATGTAAGATAGAAAATAATCACAACATATACAGACACTTGCTGCAAGAAGACGTCTGAGGTATTTATCCACTGCCTGGGCTACCCATGTGCTATCATGTTTTTCCTGTCTAGAATACACCTAAGATGGGGAGGGCAAGGGGACAGAGCTGCCTGGGCTGCCTGCCTGTGGGGCCTTCAGGGTTCCTCATGGCCCAGGCCCTGTTCCTAGAGACACCTACTGGTGCCTCCACTCCCAGGCTTTCAGCTGAGACCCTGCTGCTGTCCTGAGGACAGCAAGGGTTCACTGAGAGGGGAGACCAGGCCAGCTGCCTAAGGGATCGAATCCAATGACCAGAAAGACAGTGTGCTATGCCTGTGTCCTCTGGGTGGGAAGAGTCCATTCTTCGTGACCAAACCCCTGAGAAACACACTGGCAAATGTCTGTAACACCTTCAGGTGGGCCCAGTGCCAGCCAACTGGGCTCCTCCCAGGCACCAGGTCCCAGATGCCCTTCTCTGCCCACACCCTGCACTTGCCTGGTAAGAGGGTCAGCCCTGGTGGAGGGCCAGGGGATGGGGGAGAGAAGACAAGGTCCAGCAGAGCTACAGCACATTTCGTGCTCAAGCTCTGGAATTCTCTTTCCTTTCCTAGACAGGACTGAATGTTAGCCAGGTGTGGGCTCAAGCCAGTATGGGCTCCTACAGCCCAGCAACGTCAAATGCGTGTTGTCTACGACATACCGCAGGGCTTATTCATTTCCAGGAGAGCCTTGTGTGAGAACCAGCTCTTCCTTACAACACAGGAGCAGCCTGCTCCACTCCAGGGTTCAAGAGAAGATAAAGCTCTCTCATCTTCTAAAGGCCATGGCCTGCCTGTCCTGGTGGGAGTGTGAAATGAAGGGGAGATATCCTACCCCCACTGGAGAGTAGGGGGTAGGGGTTGGGACTAGCCCTGTTATGGCAGGAAATGGATGGAGGACCATCTTCAGAACTGGTATGGTTTCAGGACCCAGCCAGGCTTCCACTCCACCTCCTCCCTGCCGCTCTGATCCCTGAGTCATCTCTCCTGCCTGCCTCCCGCTTCCTCACCAAGGTTGCAAGGAAGGGCCAGAGGGGCTGGGGTACCAAATCATTTGTTTGGCTTTGGGGTGATCTGCTCTCATATCTTTGGTGCTATAATAATAAAAAATTTTAAATAAAAAATCAGGTCGGCAAAACACATATAAAAAGACTTCAGAGATGCAAATACTTCCTGAAGAATCAAACATCAACAATTACAAATCTGAGGTATTTCAATGAACCTGATGTTAGCAGGCTTGGGGGTGTTAGGGCTAAGATGGCCCCAAGAGAAGACCAGCCAAGGGACAAGTGGGCTTTTCTTGGCACAGCTGACCAACAAGGGCAAGTGGGAAGCATAGGGTCCAAGAGGGTCAGAAAAGGGTCAGTTTGAAGTGGGTGCTAGGGCCTGCCTGGGCAGCCCTGTAAGGCTCTGCCTCTCCCTTAGCAGATGTCCAAAGGGCCTTCGGAACTGAGGACTGCTTCAAGACTCGAATTGGAGGGACCCATGCCCCAGGAACCAATATGTTAGGTAAGGAAAGCCCCATCTCATGCTCAGCAGGTAGGGATAGGAAGGCATGCGCTTGGCTCCTAGCAGACCCACATGAGAGTTAAAGATTGGGGCACTGAGCAGGGGAAGGGACCAGTGACCCTGGGGTCATGGCAGAAGGCAGGGGAAGAAAAATAAATTAAAGGAGAAAGGATATGAAGGGCCTCCAGCCTGGTGTCGGTTTACAGATTGTCAATACACTGTGCCCAGGATGGGAGGTGGCCTGGGAATCCCCAGGAAGCTGGCTGTCCACAGACCCCACCCATTTCTCCAGGACAATCTCTGATTGGACAACGCTGCTCTGTCCTGCCCCTCCAGCCTCTCCCTGTCCCCCAAGTACAGCAGGACCTGAATGGAGCCTGGACAAGCGGACATGTCCAAACTCCCAACATCTGGTATTTGACATGGGATCCGTGAGATGAGGTAAATTTTGTGCATCGACTTCCTTCACTCTCAACAGAAGAGTGGGGAGTGGAAGCTGGGTCCTGCCCCTCAGAGGGACCAACTGGTGGAGGGCTCTGCACTGGGGGTGCCCCGTGATGAGGTAGGACTTGGTGAGCAGTGAGAACTGCTGCTGCTGCTGCTGATGCTCTGGGGAGCAGACCCTGCGATGAGGTGGACCACAGGCTTCTGGGCAAACAGCACACCTGGGGTGGGGAGGAGAAGCAAGTGTGAGCAGACCAAGAGAGAAGGGTGGTTCCGTTGATTCCACTGATTTAACTGGGTCAGGTCCCACTCTGGACACCATGCCGGGTGCTAACATAAGTCCCAAACACTGTCCTGCTTCCAGATGCTTACAGGCTGGTGGCAAAGACACAGGTGGGCAGAGTAATTTTGCTGAAATGTCACAAATGCTCCGAGGGAAGTGTCCCCAGGGTGCTGTGAGAACAAAAAGGTTTTGGAGAGCAGGGGAAAATTGGTCAGGAAAGGCTCCAGGGGAAGGCTATGCCTGCACTATTTGAAAAAGTGGCCAAATGAAAAAGGGAAATGGTGTGCCAGGCAGAGGAGCTCTGAGAGAACAATTAGCAGAGAGAGGTGGCAAACGTGCTGGAGGCCATGCCGTCGTGTGGTCTGCTGGCAGATGAGGCTAGAGAGATGGGAGAACAAGGTAGTGGAGGTCTGTACACCCCTAAGGAAGCCAGTTCCTACCCTGTAGGTGTCGTGAGGCCCCTCAAAGTTTTAAGAAGGGAGGGGTCTCATGATATGTACATTTTAGAATGCTCTGTGGGGTTGGGAGGAATATGGGTGATGGAGGTCTGCAAGAGAGCTGAGAGGCTTGACCCAGGCACTGGCAGTGAGGAGAGCAGGAGCGGAGGACAGAGCACAGAGTAGCGAGGTCTGCTCAGCTCTGCGGGGCCAGGATGAGCATGAGGGGCTCTCGGGAAAGACTTTCAGGTTCCTGGTCTGGGTGTCTGCAAACTCACTGAGAAAGGGCACTGGTGAAACAGAAACTGAGGCAGTTGAGGTTTGGGGAACTTTCAACTCTCTTCTGAGTGCTCCCCATTTTGAGAGAAAAGCTTTATCTTCTCCTTTCTCCCAAAAGAGGACAAAAGGATGTGGAGATCAGGCCCCAATATCCTCCTTCCCTGCTTTTCCCATGAATCCACTCTCCCAACCCCAAACCTCCTAGAGCAGCGGTCACCAACTTTCAGACGTCATGGACCACCAGTGGTCTGCAGACCACCAGTTGGCGCCTGATGCTCAAAATGTTTCCTTAAACCAGCGGTTGCCAACCTTTTGAACCTCATGGACCACCAGTGGTCCGTGGACCATCGGTTGGCGACCGCTGTCCTAGACCATCAAAGCACCACCAGAAGGCAAAGAGCACCCCAGCCCTACTCACTGGCTCACCCAGCCTCCTCGATGGCCCCCCGTATCAGGCAGAGCCCTCTGAAGGCCTCTGAAATGCTGTATGTGGTGATGGGGAGACAGCCTGGCATGGCTACCTCTCTGCAGGCTGCTCCCAGGAACTCTGTCCCTTTCTGGCCCTACCCTAATGCCCACAGCAGGTAGCCCAGTAGAGACCCAGAGCATTAGGCCTGCCGGGTGGTGCCCTGAGGGGGCCCTGCCCTCTAGCATAGGAGAATTCAAAGGACCAAAAGCATGCCCTGAGGAAATACCCCCCTTTTTGATGTTAAGGGCACCTCTCATGCCCTCTGTAAAACAGGTGGCTAATGCTGAGGCTCCTGGCAGAAGGCCACTGGCCAGAATGTCTGAACTTTTTAGCCCCAACTCATCAAGCTGTGCTTAACAAGTCGGCTGGGTTTATTCCCAAACTCAACCGAAAACCAACGAAACAGGAGTGGGAAGAGGTTTGCTGCTATGAAAACTAAGTTGACGGCCTTGGGAAGACTGGTTAAACCAACCAATCAACTAACCAATCAACCACTACTGCCAAATTAGACTAAGGGAGAGAAAACTGTAAGTGACAGAAAAAATCACACACATATACAGGCCAATTCTGCACACTCAGATCCCTTTGCCTGTGTCTGTCCTTGATCTATTTTAAAGGAAAGGAATGACAGAGGTTTAGAAAGAGAACAGTTGAAGCACAAAGAAAGGAGGCCCAAATATTAGAAGACCATAATGGTGGATTTAGAATACAATGTTTAAGGCATGGATATAGAATTGATTATGATTCTTCTCATTAAGTGATTTTTTTTCAATTAGCAAGCCAACCACTGGTCCAAAAAGGTTCAGTGTAGGGTTTCTATCGTTCTGTCAAAGGTGGAGGGGGATCTGTCATCATGTTAGCAATCCTCAGCCTCTGCCAGTCCAGAAGAACCACTTTACCTATGGAGCCCCAAGATTACCTACAAGGAAGCCACCCTGGCAAAGTGTGCGACAGGAGGGTGACAAGTGGGGCCCGTTGGGCAGCTGTACTGACGCTGGCCACCACACTGGCCTCCCTCAAGCTCCAAGAGCCTCACCTGCATAGGTGGTGCCGTCGATATCCACAGACATATTAATGCTCCCAATGCTGCCCGAGGTCAGATTCAGCGCTGTAGCCGAGGCCTCTGATCTGTCTTCTGCTGAGGACAAAGGAGAGAGGGCCTGGTCAAGCCTTCTGGCACGTCTGTTGTCCTTTGTGTGGCGCTCCCATGCCCCCGGTCTGGCCACAGCAGGCCGAGGCCCACTGTTAGAAAGCATCTACATAACCTTCTCCTGAGCATAATGTCTGGCAGGAGCACTCAGACTTGCTAATGTCCTGTTGCTGCTTTCTCCACTGAGCCACTTCACCTCCCCAACTCTCTGATTGAAGAAAAAAGGGATCATCATCAGCAAGGAGGCTTCTCTTGGCTCACAGCTGTATGCTGGCGCTTTCAAAGAAATGTGTCAAACGTCCCTGAGCACACTATACATCAGCTGGGGAACCGGAGATCAGGAAGATCCAGTCTCTGCCTGAGGCCTCACCTTGCTGCCACCGCCTTCCCCTTCACTGGGGTGGGAGGTCCTCAAGGAAAGGGTCTACCTACCCAGTACTTCGTTTTTCATCTCAGCTGGGCAATGGGGGCTTGTGGAAGGCCGCTGCCCAGCTCACTTCTGCCCGCTCACTACACA